GGCTGGCAACCCCAAGTGTGCCCTCCTGGACAGAGCCAGCTGGAGGCCCGGGGTGTGGGAGACGTGGGACAGGCAGGCCTCTGTCTTCCTGCTTCCATCCTTCCTCTGTCCCTCCCTCTCTCTGTCTGCTTTAGAAACAGACACGAGGCCTGGGAAACTCATTCACTTCCCACTCCCACGTGCTTCAGCAACTGGGTTCAAAATCTGCTCAGGTATTTCCCAGCCCTAAGACTTCAGATCTTCGTTTTATTCTTTCATGGAGACACTGTAAGCATACTTTCAATTTATTGAAAAAATCATGTGTAAGATAGCACGTCCGAGCCTCTCCAGACAGGCCTGTACACACTTCCTGGTCGCACAACTCTCCTGGTGCATTATTTATTGCTAAGGAAAATTATCGTGCTGATAAGAAAATAGTGTCACTTAAAAATTAGGTGGCTCCCAATCAACTTATGACAGTAATTGCTGTAATGTCCCCTTTGATTTAGATATAGTAATATCCGTGTAATTGCCACTGGGAAGGAATTAGAATGGCTGTTAATGATAACCAACACACAAACGGCGATGAGCAGGGACACGTCCTTCGTCTCGCATTCCACAGCAGAGCAGCTGGAGGAGCCCGCGGCTCTCCCCAGTCCTGGACGAACCGGCGCCCGACCCCCAGTAAACAAGGGCGGTTACGGGGAGAACTGCAAGCATGTCTTCAGCCACCCTGTGCTGTCCACCGGAGTCCTCAGCCCTCCAGAGAAAGTGGAGAGAGCAGTGCCCAGAGAGGCCGATGGCTGGGGACCGTGGACCTGCTGTACCGCAGAGCCAGGTGCCCCACCAAGGACACACACCTGACGTCGCCTGGCTCACTGTCCACTCCTGCACCGCTGCTCTCTCTGTCCTTGGGCACCCACCTTATCAATTCACTGCTCTACAGTGAGATGCAGTGGCTGCAACCCATGGTCGCTATCCCACCAATGGCACCCCCCAGCGGCAAGCACTGACCTGGCTGAGTGCCACCTGTCTCCCCAGTACAGGCCTGGGCCCAACAGTGGCCCACACTGTTTGTTGAGTGAATGAAAGACTTCACCACGGAATGGGTGGGTGGACAAGACAGCCTTCCTGGTGTCCAGCATGGGGCATGCTCAGGCAGGCACAGGGGCCGTGGAAGTCTTGTCCTGGCCAGCATGTCACAGCATAAACATGCCCACCTGTGCCATGGCCTTTGCTGAAGAAGAGGCATTACTTTATCTCCTGAGACCATGGCTTCTCTCCATGACATTGAGGCACCAACTGCTTGGCTTGTTAACACTGATGTCACCTTGCAAAGAGGGAGTTTCCAAAAAACGAGACTGTAGGCAGAGACGGTGTGACCAAGTGAAGGGCCAGAGGAATTCCCTGAACCCAGGTTGAATTGGGGGTCCTGGTACCAGTCCAGACTTTGACCCACTCCTAGGGCTTTCCTCCTGAGTTGCAAGAGGTCCCCCTCAGGGGGTTGTAATGCTGTAGACCTGAAGGATCTGGGAGAGGCCTGACCACCTGCGTGGTTATGAAGGCCGTGGAAATCCCGATGGCAGTGATGGCTACAACTCCCTTCACAGTGGGGCGAGGCACCGTGCCATGTGCTGTGTTCGTTTCTTATCTCACTCTCAGGCCTTTTAGGTGGTTGCTGAAACTCGTCCCATTTCACAGCAAGAACTAGGTAGGCACAGCGAGGCTGAGTAACATGACCAAAGTCACACACTTAGTAAGTGGTGAAGCCAAGTCTGGGCCAGGCAGTCGACCCCAGAGCCCTCACCCCTGCCCAACCTGACCTTCATCTATGGTTCTGGTGGGAGTTCGTGTTTGCGAACCTTGGTCCAGATGACCTATAAGGTTCTGTCCGACTTCAGAGCCAGTGAGGGTGTGAATCTGGGGAAATAAGGCACTGACGTTTCCCAAGCATGGTGTGTGGCCAAGGCCCTGCTGGTGCAGCCAGTAAGAAGCCACTGGGAGCCCCAGGGAATCAGGCCCCTGGGGCTTTCACTCCCGATAGTGTAGGCGCTGGTATTGCCATCTTTTCCATTTGATCCGACTTTTCAGTTAGGTAAACACCTTTCTTAAAATCAAAAATCATCAACAACTGACAAAATAGTAGAAACATGCAAATGAAACTAGACTCAAATCCAAGAGGAGGTGGAAGCACAGGGGCTGGGGCAGAGCACAAAGTCCTCCCCTCCTAGGAAGGACTGGCCAAGACTCAGGTGCCAGGGCCTCAGTACCCACAGCTCTGCAAGGTATATGGAGCAGGGGACAAAGTCCAGAACTGCCTGAGGTGAGCAGCTTGGTACTGAGCATAGAAGGCAGAATAAAAGAAGTCCCTGGTAATTGTAACCACAGCCAACCTTGTCTAGACTTGTTGCTCAAAATACCAGGACCTGGTTTCTAACCAGAAACAACAACAAAAACTTCAAACTCATTAATTCAGTATAAAGTGGAACCAACTGATAGTACTTCCAAAGTACCCAGCAGAAGCCAATATAAATTTTTCTCTGGGAGAATGCAACTTTGTCTTAAACCTACAACAATTCCTATAAAGAAAAAGGGCAGATAACATTTAGAAATACTTAATCATAAAAAGAAATAATGTGACATGAGCCAGAACCAGCAAAGGCAAAAGAACACAGTGACAGACATGCAAAACCTTTAGGAATTAACAAGTAAAGACCATAATAAAGTAACAATTGCTGAATGTAAAGAAATAAAAATTCAAAAAAATTTAAATGACCTTGAATATTTGAAAAAGAATTGAATATAATTTCAGGAAGAAGAAAAATATAATAAAATGAACAAGTCAATTAGTGGTTTTAACTGCTGACTTAATATGGCTGAAGAGAGAATTTATAAACTGGAATACAGATAAAAGAAAATTATCCAAAAATGCATCACAAAGATATAGGAAAGAAAATATGAATAAAAGTCAAAAGACAACGAGGATAAAGTGAGAAAGTCTAACATAGCTTTAGTCAAAGTTTCCTAAGGAGAGGTGAAAGAGAATCTGAGAGATGTGGTATTTCTAGACACTAATTTGTAGGCTGTTTTAAAAAGATACACCTAAAAATTAGTGTCCAGAAATACTACAAGAATGGAATGAGATAACCCATGCCATGTGTGCAGAGTGGCTGGGAATGTTCAGCAGTATCTATGTCCTTGCGTGCCCAGAGCACACAGGCATGAGGTTCCCACTGTCTGTGCCACTCTGCATGGTGCCAGAGTTATTCAGAAATGCCCTTGTCCAGGTCCTGCTCTGGAGGAGTCTACTTTCCTGATTCCAGCAACATAGTATAATTCATTTAATCTGAATTTTAATCATTCTAAGACACGCTCTTGGCCTTTGTAGCTCTTAGAAAGAATGATGACCACCAACTAAACTACACCACAATGCTTTCTCATTAAGTGGAATTTTTTTCCTTTTTTTTTCTTTCTTTTTTCTTCCTTTCTCCCTTTCCTTTTTTTTCTTTCTTTTCTCCCTTTTTTCTCTCCTCCTTTTTTTCCCAATTGGAATTTCCACAAATAACATGTGTTTCAGAAACACAGACTAATTGCTCTCATCATTTTATATCAGTTTGAATTTTTTTGGGGGGGGGAGGTTTTTACTATAGGGAGCATGAGCTCGCCAGAAAGTCAGAGAGAGACAGAGAGACAGAAAGCAAGAAATCAACCCCCAGGGGGGATGGCCACACTGCAATCCCTTCTCCTCCATTCTGCCCTGAGATCTTGGTCATGCATGCACACGTGCCTGGCATGAGTTTAAGCCACCAGGTCCAGGATTCAAACCATGTTCAACTACATGGGAGTCCAGCGACACAGCTATTATGCCAACCCCAATTTGAAGTTTCATTTTATGCTTATTGGAAGATTTTTCTGATTAACAGATTTATTTAGACACATTTTACCATGTATCTATTTTGAAACACATAGACATGGAAATAGGTTCAGATATTCCTAAAACATCTTCATGTTGGAGGGCGACACCTTAAACCTCCTCTCAGCTCTCCCACTGACATTCATGGCTCATGCTCTCCCTCTGGGTAACGGGCATTGATATTCCAGCCACTGTGGACTCCAGAAGTTTCTTCCAACTGACACCCATTCTCCAAGCTTACTTGATCTTATCAGACAGGCCCAGGAATGATTTTCATACAGCTACAGCTTACATTACTTCCTAAGATGTTCCCTATTTCTTGATTGAGAGTTTGGCCGAGGTGCGGTCACACCACCGAGAAGCAGCTGTGCCGGAGCCCAGTGACCTGCAATATTGTCATTTCTGCATCCTGATTGCAGGTGTGAAATTGGATAAAAGGCTGAGGTTCTCCAAATCCAGACTCCAGAAGAACAGGATGCTCCCCCCTCAAGAAACCCTTTCCTCTCCACGCAAGGTGTGCTCTGAGCACCCAGAGCCACACCAGACACCTTATCGTGCTTCTCGAACTGGCTGTTCAGGGTTTATGCCTGCTTCGTGGCGCACGCCTGCATGTACAGCAGGTAAACAGAAAGAAAGGAGGGGCAGAGGATGGCGAGAGGTAGCTGGGAGCACCATGGTTAGGGCTGGGGCTGCTGGCATAGAGCCCCTGGAAAACACATAGGCTCTCGCATCGCACAGAGGAGGACTCAGAACCTGCCTGCAGAGAATGGGCACTACCCACTGGACGGTTGCAACCAACAAGTAAGTTGAACGATAAAGAAAGGACAAAAGATGAAGAAGAAGAGGAAACGGCATGGGGAGGAAGAAGTACCCACAGCGTTGCTCTAAGGATGAGAAGTGAGGTCAAGTCTTGTTACCTATGGTGGTCCTGTTCCACAGAGCTCCAGGAGCACTGAGTTAGTGAGTACAGACCCATTGCTCATTGGGGAAATGCAGGTAGGGTTCCTACCAACCTCCACCCCAACAATGTCATCAACCACTTGATGCATGACCTCATTTCAAGTGCGCTTCTCTTTAAAGACACCGTTTTTGTTTGTTTGTTTTTAATTTTTATTTATTTTACATTCATTCACTGAACATCACAGCATACAATATGCAATTTCCCATCCAGAATACACCATATAGTGTCTTAATCATGTGTTAGCATCAAGTAATTTTCCATTTCTTGTTTCATATATATGTACTTTTTCTCCCCTGTTTCTCACCCTCTGCCATTTCCTACCCTCCTCCCACACTGTCTCTGGTATATGCAGTTGTTTTCCATTCCATTTTTCCCCCAACATTCTATTGATTTACAAACTATCATAATTAACTACTCTCAATAGCAAGTTCAGCCAATATATACATATCTGTGAACACATGTTTGACTTTAGGCATGAAACTCTGTGAGCAGAATGAATGTACTACAAAGTAGAACCTAGCTGAGGCTATATAGCTTACTGTGGTCATTAAACAGATGTTTTTAATATATTTTTTAATTTCAAGAAAAGCAGTTTCAGGTTTTTTTTAAATTTATTCATTCATTTATTTTAATTTGACCAGAGAGAGACAGAGAGAGATGGTGAGAAAACAAGCTGCCAGGTCTGGGACTCGAACCATGGTCAGCCATATGGGAATGTTCAGCACCTTAACCATAATGCCACCCACTGGTCCCCAAAGCAGTTTCAGTTTGAATAAATCAAAATTTAAAAATGTTAAGATACCTTTTCATAAAACTTAAAGCCAGGAAACAGGTTAGGATTCTGTTCAAATAGGTACATGGACCTATCCAGAAATCAAGAGAAGACAAAGTTCCTTAACTCTGGAAAACAAAGCATAGAAGATCAGTAATGTTTTAGTCAAAAGTCACCAGTTCAGGCTCATGTAGTTAATCTATCTTCTTCTATGGTTTGATCTTTCTGTTTAAATTCTGGAAGATAGGGAACCAGCAGTTAGCATAATGGCTATGTCGCTGGACTCCCGCGTAGTCGACCACGGTTCGCATCCCGGACCAGGTGGCTTAAAACTCACGCCGGGCATGTGTGCGTGCGTGCCCAAGATCCCGAGAGGAGAATGGAGGAGAAGGGATTGCGGCGTGTCCATCCCCACTTGGGGGTGATTTCTCGCTTTCTGTCTCTATGTCTCTGTCTGTCTGGCGAGCACATGCGCCCTATAGCGAAAAACCTCTCAAAAAAAAAATATCTGGAAGATAACATTCAACTTGCCCCTACCATTTGCCGGTTATTTTCTTAGTTGTTTTTGAACTCTTATTTCTGTGTGTTTGACTTTAGTTTTCCTAATATGGCACTCCCTTCAGAGCTTCTTGGGGAGCTGGTCTGGTGTCGATAAATTCTTTCAGGTTTTGTTTATCCTAGAAAGTTCTCGTCTTCTCTTCCCATATGAAGGATAATCTTTCTGGGTATAGTATTCTTGCTTGAAATTGTGTTTCACTTAACACTTTGAGTATATTTTCCCATTCTTTCCTTGCTCGCATTGTTTCTCATGAGAGATCTGCTATTAGCCTGATGGGATATCCTTTGTAGGTAACGATATTTCTCTCTTGCCAGTCTTAGTATCTTGTCTTTGTCTGTGGTTTTGGTCAACCTGGCTATAATGTGTCTTGGAGAAGATGTTGAGTTGATTCTATTTGTGGTCCTTTGTATTTCTTGGGTCTGGATCTTTGAATGCCTCTCTAGGTTTGGAAAGTTTTCTTGCAAGATTTCATGGAATAGATTGCCAATGCCTTTATTAGTCTCTTCACCTTCTGGGATATCAATTATCTGGATGTTTGGATGTTTGATGGTATCTAGTATTTCTTGTATACTGTTCTCATCTTTTTTGGCAGTTTTCTCAGTCTTCATGGTTTGTTTTGTTTTGTTTTTTTTTTTTTTTCTAAGCCAGCGATTCTGTCTTCTACATCTGAGATTTGATCTTCTGTATGATCTAGCCTGTTTGTAATACTTTCAAGGGAGGTTCTGATTTCCTGTAGTCCAGTCTTCATCTCTGTGAGTTCCGTTTGATTCTTTTTTATGGTATTTCCTCTTTCAGATCAGGCAAGAACTTCCTCACCTCCTGTCTCTTTTCTCCTTCCTCTTCTGGAGTTCATTGTCTCTCTTCTCTTGCATCTCTGCTAGCTTTGTCACTATGAATATTCTAACTTCTTTATCAGACATCTCCATGAGTTTCATTGAAGTGTCTGTAGATGAAGAGGAATTATTCTTCTCCCTTGGGGGAGAGGGATTTTCTTGGTTTCTCATATTTCTTGTGCCTCTGTGGTGATTTCTGGTCATCTGATGGCTTATACATTTCCTCTTCATTTCTAGAAGTTCAATCTGAGTATTCAGAGGCATGCAGGAGGAGGTGATCTGCCATCTATTTGTTGTTCCATTTTTCTCCCTCCATGTGGCAGATTCAGTAGGAATTGAGGACTATGTTGACACTAATAGTATCCAGATGCTTGGCTATGGTTCGCTTAGACCTGTCTAGACACTCAGTGCATGGAGGCTGAGCAGCAAAGGGATGAAGGTAAAAGAAAAAGGATAGGAAAACAGAGAGAGAGAGTGAGAGAAAAAAAGAAAAAAATTACTATTTTTTTTAAAAAGCCAAAATTAAAAACCGCGTGGCATGGAAACACAAGTTCTCAGCTCTAATGGAGGAGTCGGTCTCTGAAGGCCTGCACTTTGCCTCTCCACTTGAGAATGGGGTCTGGAGGATGGTGTTGCAGCAGAAAACCTTCATTACTCTTAGTCCTTCAAGGCACTGGTTCTCAGCTCCCATGGAGAAGTCGGCCTTCTTCTTTAAAGACACCTTCTTAGGGATACGTGGCTGGTTCAGGTTCAGTATGGCCCTCACCATCAGCACCATCGCTCTGGCCTGAACAGAGCTGGTCCAATGTACAGATTTCTCTATGACGCTGCCACAGTCTCCGTGTGCTTAGGACACTAGACAGCACACCAGGCGCTCACAGACACCAGTGACGTGCTGACGGAAGAACATGCAAAAGCCGCGTGTTTGCAGTAAGAGCTGGAACAAAAGCAGGGTGTCACTGCGTGGCTGCAGCCGGAAGCGTGAGCGCCAGGCAACCCGGTGTTGCACATATCTGCCAGTGACCATGAGAGTGCCAAGTGCTGACCTGGGGGTTTCAAATATGTTTTGGCAAGTGTGCAAATTCTCAGACACAGAGTCTTCCAATAGTGAGGTCAGCCATTCACAGGCAGACACCTGGTGCTCAGATGTGTGCACCAAGTGGTGAGCCACTGTTACTGCGGGACACCATCACAGCCCTCTGAAAACCTACCACAGGCAAAGCCCAAAGGAGGGCTAGTGGGGGCAATGGCGTGGCTTGCCCACTGTCCTCGATCTGTCCCTCTGTCCCACAGTTTGTTGCCCATCCATTCTGTGCACACATGGAGAGCAGCGAGCGTGGTGTGTCTCTGGCTGGGAGTTTAAAGAGCAGTTTATCTCCTAAATGGACCCCATTGGTCAGCTTGGGCCATTATCACAAAATATCAGACTGCGTGGCTTAAACAACAGAAATTTATTCTCTCATACTTCTGGAGGCTAGAAGTCGGAGGTCAGGGTGGCAGCGGGCTGCGTTCTGGCGAGGGCCCTCTTCCTGACTCAGACGATGCCTTCTGACTGTGTCCTCACGTGGGA